AGTTTTTATTAAAAAAATTAAACTTTTTAATAAAAACACAGGCAAATTTGCCTGTGTTACAATTTAAGGGATAACCAGGCATTTCAATAGCACTCATATACAGTATAACTATAAATAAGTAGTTTTATATGTTAATAATAAAGCAAATATGTCAGATAATTTATCAAGAACTGAGTGGATGTAGGTTTTTTTATTTCTAATTAGAAAATATTACTGTACGTATTACAAGTTTTTTTGATGAATTTTAGAAACCCTGAAGAACCGAATAAAGAGAACAAAAAAATCGAAGAAATTAATAATTCTGATTTTATTTCATTTTTGGAAGAGATTAAATTGGTAAACTATCTAAAATTATCAATGGGTCATTATTTTTTTAATAACTATACAATTTATATACTGTATAATAATTTTGACCACTACGTTGTATGTACAAGGACTATCAAGGTGCTGATCAACCTTTACAAAGTGCGCTAGATAAGTTTAAGGATTATTATAATGTGGCAAAATCAAGATCTATCTCTCAATTATCTTTTTTCCTTTACGATCTTGATAACAACCTAGACCCAACAGCTTGTATTAAAAGTGGTGCCCAAATACGTGTCCAGGTAGAATCAATTAAGCGACGCAAAGTAGAAGGCAGTACCAAGCAAAGGCAAACCGTTCTTCAAAATAGAGTAAATGAAAATTCAGATCCCCAGGTTATGCCTGCTAGAAAAAAAAGGAAAGTAGGCAAAAAAAAGCATAGCTTGGGTAAGAACATATCTAAAAATCAGCCAAACTGATAACAAGTCCATCACTTTAACTGTTTCAACATTCATAGTGAGTTATAAAATTTTATAATCATATATTTGCAATTTTTTAAGAGTATTAAAAATACTTGTGTGTTTTTAAAATAACCTGAATAATTAAATCATGTATACTACAATTGATTAGACTATATCAATAAATTTATGAATATAAAATGCAAGAACTTTTTAGTAAGCTATATTAATTATGACTAATAGTACTAAATAAGTTATTCTATACTATGTTAAACAAAGAATCAAGTTGGTCTGGTTTTACACATATTGGGTGCATTATTTTCGTACAATAGTCCTGCTGAATATTCTTTATTTTTTTTATCTATCATGTCTAATTGCCATAAAATACTTTTAAGTTAAACCGAAATTTTAGTTCATTTGAATTATTAAAGAATTTCTTCCTGAAATAACGAATATTGATAATTTACAATAGATTGAGAACTTGTTAAGTCTTATCATAACAAAGGTTTATATTTTATCCGTTAAAGTATTATATTTAGCAAATTTTTATATTCAAAGAAGTCTTCAATCTATAAAATAAGAAAGGTTATCGAGAACCATCATTAAAAGTATTAAAAACTTAAAATATCTAAGAAATCCAAAAATCAGCTTAATTTTTCCTTCTTTGAACTTTAAATAAGGATTTCTTGACAGCCGATTACCCAAATTCGATGAAAATTGTTTTATTTTAATTCTGTGGATTAAAATAAAAAAATTTTTAATCAAATTGAATAGCAGGTTGGCGAGATATCTTCATTAAAAGTTAAAAAAAAATCTGGCTACAGCTTTTTTTTTATAGGCATCTAAGCTTTGAACGAAGATTACTCGGCAATTATCTAATCAAATTTGATCAATTTTTTTTTATTTTAATTCTATAAGCTTATAGAATTGAAATAAAAAAAAAATTGATCAAATTTGATTAGATAATTGCTGAGTAATCTTCGTTTAAGGTGCCTATAAAAAAAAGTTGCGGCCAAATTTTTTTTTAACTTTTAATGAAGATATCTCGCCAACCTGCTATTCAATTTGATTGAAAATTTTTTTATCTTAATTTCATGAATCCACAGAATTAAAATAAAACAATTTTCATCGAATTTGGATAATCAGCTGTTAAGAAATCTTCGTTTAAAGTTCAAAGAAGGAAAAATCAACCTGATTTTCTTTTCAAAGATATTTTAATTTTTTCAAAACTTTTAGCGATAATTTTTCGACAACCAACAAATAAAATCCAATAAAATTTTTTTATTTTAATTCTACAAGCTTATAGAATTAAAATAAAAAAAAGTTTACTGAATTTGATCAAATACTTATTGAGAAATCATCGCTAAAGTGTAAAAAAACTTTCGAATTTATTAATAGGAGGAGCATCAGGTTAATTGATGATCTATGATTGGCAACATGTATAACCTGGCACACAATATATATGTGCGTAAAAATTAAAGGTATAGATAGATATTAAAAACTATGATTCGTTGATAATTTTAGATAGTTTATATTCACTTCGTAATAAACACATCTACAATGTCTGACGCAGAGTGTATAATTTAAACAGCTCTTAGTTTGCAGTTTGTTCTGTTGCAACTGCAGTTACTTTGAATTTCATGTTTTTATCTGTTCAGTCACTTGTTCTTGAATCGTTTATTCATATACAGTAGTCATGTCAAATTTTACTGTGTTGTGGCATTTTTTAGTAAAGATAAAAAGTACCAAATGAAATAATATCGAGTGCCACCATATTCTGTATTCTGATAAGCTTGACAATTTATAGTGTAAAAATCTTTAATAGGACAAATTTGTTTACCACGAACTATAATTTTAACCTTTAAACTTAGCTCTTCAACTTTACAATCAAAATTGATTATATATATGTAAACAATTTTTTTAAAGTTTTCATACATAAAAAATTTTTTTTGAGAAAAAATTTTCTAAAAAAAAGAAAAAATATATTTTGTTAATAGACAGAATAGCTTTTTCTAACTTTAGATAAAGTTTTTTTAATAACCATCTAAACCAAATTTAATTAAAATTTTTTATTTATATTTAGTTGTACTTCTTTATAATTACTTAGTTTATGAAAAAATATAATTATAAAAATTTTATTATATATACTGTAATATGCTTATTTTTTTTTTAATTTTAAAAAGTGAGGCCTTGCTCATATCTTTATTGAACCCGGTTTGTCGATCATCATGCAGAGTTTAAGTAACATCTATGCATGCCATCAGATTTTACTTAATTTTGCAAGTGATACAAACCCCAAAAAGGAAATCGCATTTGTAAATAAACTAAGAAAGTTTAGGATTAGGACGTTAGGGTTAGTGCTAGGGTTAGTGTTAGGATTATACAACTCTCTCTGACGATCATCTAGACCAGAATTTCCTACTGAAGAAAACCAAAAATCTTGTTGGAGAGTCATGGCCTAACGTGTGATTTGCCTAGAGGTTAACAGGTTTTCTTTTCTGGGACTCTTTTATAAGCTATGTGTTTGGCATGCAAGCCAAGAGCGTTGGTATACAAGATAACTGGCAGGAGGTGTGTGCCCTTGGATACAAAATCTTGGTAGAGAGACTGGAGTCTTCTCTGTCAACGAAGCACTTAGGCTATTACTTCGAAATGAGAAACATAGGGGAAACAACAAGTATTTGCCTTTCTTCAAGCCACACTTTTTTACTCAGCCAGATGGTCTTTTTTTTTTCTTCTACTTGCCCTCCTATCAGTCTTCCAAAAATTTTAACAAAAAGTGGGGATTTGGCTTACTCCTCCAAATGATCGGCATAGGTTACACAGTGTTTATATTCCCATATCCAGTTGACATGGTAGATGGCAATCACGTATCTGGCATAAGCAGACATAATGCTACCGGTTTTGGCTTGGGGCCGCTGGAAACTGAAGAGTTGGCGTGAAATGATGACAGTACCTGATTAAAAGAACCCGGGCGAAGACTTCTGGAGATAGTAGGGTTGGAGAGGAATTAATAGTATAGGTGAAGCCTTACAATAGAGATATATAGTGTTGCTATAAGCATATAATTTTTATACTCGCCTGGCATGGGTTATAATAGTACTTTTTTCTTTTTTCTTGTCAGGATCGCCAACTTTTCTTTTTTACTTTTTTTGCTGGTTTATTTATAATAGAATTATATTTAAGATAGTTTCTTTCTGTGGTTTTTGGTTTTAATTTTCCTTTCATTCTCCTAAATGTTTTTGGTCTTTTATAAACGTGGTATATATAATCTTGCTTATAGAAGAGTAAGAGATAGTTATTCTGCCCAGATTTTGGTAGAAAAAGTTGGAAGAAAGGTTGGTGATCCTGACAAAGTATACAACAGCCAGTTCAGAATCGAGGGGAGTACCCTTTGGGATACAAAATTATGAGTGAGTTCATAATCCCTGAGTAGACAAACAGTTGTTATAGCAGGTCACATTGGGCATTTATGCTTGGTGAGTCTTTATTACATTAGAGCAATAAGTTGTAAGAATTTTGTATACTTGGGTGTAAAAATTATATAACAGTTCACATGAATAAAGGCAGAATTGCTTAAAATATATATATATATATATAATAAATAATGACAAACGTTTTGCATTTCAAAAAATATAAAAATTTTTATAATATAATATATATAAATTAATATTTTTATTTATTCGAATTATTAGATTTTTTAAATAATCCTATTCTTTTTTCTATTTCTTAAATACATTTTATTTTGTCTTATTTAATTTAAATAATGCTACACAAAATTATTTTGAATCTATTTAAAATAATTAAATAAAATCGAATATTTTATTTATAAATAAAATTCAATAATTTAATTTCTTGAATATTGAAGTTTTTAAAATATTAGCTCTAAGCATTCTTATTAGTTTTAATTATTTCTAACTACTTTAATCTATTTTGAATTATTTTGAATTAATTTTGCTTACTTAAATCGTAAAATTTATCTCAATCTATTTTAAATTATTTTGAATTATTTTATGTAATATTGTGTAATTTTTTATGTAATATTGCATAATATCTTATATAATATTTTGTAATTTTATATTTTGCAATATTGCAAAATTTATTATGTAATATTACGGTGTTCTTATACTTCATAAATTATTTCAGAAAGTCCTGAGCAAGGGTATAGGTTGGAAGTATATTGGCCAAATAATCTTAGAAAGAAGCTAACTAGTTAGCAAAATTTGAGGATTCTAGTTATCGCTTATGCAGATGACACTATATTCATAGCAAACAGTAAATAGGAGCTTGAAGAAACAATTAAAATTGTACAAGAATTTTATAGAGTAAATGATATTGAAATAAATAGCAAAAAATCAAAGCTCTTGGTAATAGGAGGAGGGAAAAAAAAACAAGAAACAAGGTGTATAGAAATCGGAATAACAAAAGAAAAAGTAATCAAGAAAAAGTCAAGTGAACCAACAAGATTTTTGGAAGTATGGCTGTTCAAAAAATCTAGCCAATACCACACATTAGATATTGCCAAGAAAGAAATTAACACAATAATAAAAGTATTAGTGAGAAAGAGTACAACACTGGCATAGCTAATCTACATCAACAACAGAGTACTTTTACCAAGACTAGAGTACAGGTTACAACATAGCATTCTTTTGAGAAAACAATGTGACAGATTACAAAGCCTGCTAGTATAGCTAATAAAGAATAAATCTGATTTAGCCCCAATGCTATACTATGACACAAAAACATAGTAGGGCTTAAAACAATTTGGCAGAACCAAATGGCTCATCATATAACAGAGCTTAGAAAATGAATAAATAGTCAAGGTAATCTTAAAGAGGCTGTATAGATCAGAATTCGGCAAGCACAAATAGATTGCAAAAGCCCAAAATGTATTCTAGGCCTGGATCTAGCAAGATTGAGAAATATACATCTTAAGCAAAACTTAATTTACAAAATTGTAATGGAGATAAAGCAAATAAACTTAAGTTTTAGATTAGAGGAGATGGAAAAAAACCTTGAACTCACAGAAGAAGGTACCAAGATTGTAAACTTGCTGGAACCAAAACAGATCAAAAGCTTCATACAAGGAAAGAAGGTGGGAATCTTTGTATTAAAACAATTATGTGATGAATCAGGTAGCAAATTACTTATGTGAAAACAGATCAAGCAATGTAAACAATGTAAAGCTGCCAGTAAAGTGTCTGAATGGTTCAGAAACATTGAGGAAAAGGTTTTAGAAAACGAAAAAAACCGTACAATCAAGCCTGACTTCAAAACTAAAGCGATAAACACTAAGTTCAAAAATTACATACACTATAATAAATAATAACAACAAAAAAAGAGTGTGGATATTGCTAAGAAACAGAAAGAATGAGATAAAGATTGAGAAAATAAATGAAAGAAGAGACACAAAACCTACATAGTAGAGCATTGGAAAACGATTCTAAATCCAGATAACAGTATAGTTAGATCCAAGAAGTGCTCAGGTTGCGAACAGAATATGAATAAAAACACAACACCGGAATCATGTCTAAAAAAGAAAAAGCTAAAAAACAAGACAGTTGTTATAAACCCAAATCT